CTAGAACAGTGCCTGATGCAAGTGAAAGTGGTAGCTGCTCAGTCGTGTCCCATGGACTGTATCCTGCCAGGCTCCTCTGTCCATGGAATTCTCTAGGCAAGAATACTAGAGTGGGTTGCCATTCCCTTCTCCAAGGGATCTTCCTGACCCAGGGATCAAACCCAGGTCTCTTGCATTGCAGGTCTCTGTTTGCATGAGGGAAGTCTGATGCAAAGAAGGCCCTTATTAAATGGTGGTTATGTAAGTGAAGAATAATTACGAATGCTGTTGACAAAGAGGAGGCATTCAACAATGTTACTGATCAAATGAATATGGGCAAAATATTAAAAAAACAGAAATGAAATTCTTAGTGGCAGGTTTTACTCTTTGTTCTCTGTTAATCCATCAAAAAAGAAGTTCGCTGGGCACACCAGCGGTATAGAAGAAGGTACCTGATGGACTTTAAACCTTTCCATTTAGGTCCAGAACAAGCTGACCATCTGAAGGTTTTTAAAGTGAGTGGTCTATAATACCAAGAGGAGATTATAGTGGCTATGATGTAAAGGAATGGATTTCAAATACAATTAAACTGACAGAATTCAGTTTAAAGAATAGAAGGATTGACAAGCTTATTAAATAACTAAGAAATCAAGGACTGACTTTGGGTTTTTACTATAAACAGGGTAAGATTTTCTTAGCCAAAGGATATATATATGTTTTTAGTGCTTAGAAAATATCTGTTAGACCCCAGGAAGGTGGAATAGGGCTGATAGCTATGAGGTTGTTTACTAAGGGGTTTTGAACTTCACCCTTTGGTTGCAAGGAGCCACTGGTGGTCTTTTCTGCAGGGTAATGCCATGAAGAATACAAGAAACACAAAATGAAAAAAAAGTAAGCACCCTGATCCTCTAAAATTCTCTTTCAACAGCAGGTAAAACAGAGTATAGAGGGAAACTACCAAAATTGGTAGGTTCTTAAGCTGTATATTTTCCCACAGTAAGTCATAGCCTATGTAAGACCATAGGTGAATCTGCAAGGCAGTAACTCTGAAATCAACAAAGCATACTGGGGCCGGACAATACATATAAAGGTATGAATTAATGAGATCTTCCATAATTTTTTCAAGATGATAGGAAATAGGTTAAATTAACTGAGCTACACTGTGCTATTACATGGCATCAACACAAAGTGACCAGAGAATAGCAGAAAAGCACACGGCACTTAACTTTCCATGAGCAAGAGCAAAGCTACTGCTACCACAATTATACTTCCATGATGTGTGGCGAGGGAAGGAGAGGGAGGCAGAAATTTGGTCCCTGCTCACGCCCGCGGCCAAGTATCACTGTACATGGCACAGCTACACAACCTATACTGAAGTTCAGGAGGGTGTCTGAAGTGCAGATACTGGAAAAAATAATACATATTTAAACCACATATCTAACTCCTTGAGATCCTTAGAGCAATCAATTTTTTTTAAAAAATAAGTAACTAAGTCAATAGCATCTGAGCAACAGATGAGAGTTAAAGCAAAGTCTGTGGGGTAATGGTAACAGCTTTTGTGTTCTTTGTTTTTGAAAATGTGCATGTAGCAGCATCTCCAATATGCTCACAAACTCGGATGCAAAAGGCTACGGAAAACAGTTGCTATTTTTACACCAGAGGAAAAAATCAAACACCACCTTTCAGATCTTAATTTTTCTAAAATAGGGCAAGGAAATAAAATCTGAATTGCTAGATGTCTCAAGAACCTAGGAAGGACCTGTGATTTCTATCAGAGGAAGACACAGCAAACATTGGACAACGACAGGAAGAGCCAACTCTGTATTCTGGGCAATGGAGCATGAACCTGCCAAATCACATCATGTGAAAGAAAATACAGAGTTAAAGTTTAATTCAGTAACATTCTAGAAAATGGGGTATGTGAAGCTATAGTAGTTTTTCTATTTACGGACTACTATAGTTAAATCACTATAGTATTTTTCTTTAGCACTTTAAAGAGGATTTTTTAACCTTATAAATTAATATTGTAGAAGTAATAATAATTATGATAATAGCAATATGCTTTTCTACTGATGCTGCAAAAACCGCCATACACTGAGTGGCTTAAACAACAAAAATGGGCCAAAATTAATGGGTTGGCAGGCTGTGCTCCCATCTGGAAGTTCTCCAGAGAGAATGCATTGCTCTGCCCTTCCCACCTTCTAGAGGCTGCCCACAGTCCTCGGCTCACAGTCCCTCCAGCTACATATTGCATTTCTCTGTATCTGTCTTCCACAGTCACATCGTCTTGTAAGAAATTTTTATCTGTTTAGTTTTGGCCGTGCTGAAACTTTGCCGCTGCATGGGCTTTTTCGCCAGTTGCGGCGTGCGGGCTTCTCCTGGCAGTGGCTTCCCCTTTTGCAGAGCGTGGGCTCTGGGCGCTGACCCTCAGCAGCTGTGGCTCCTGGGCTCCGGAGCGCAGGCCCAGTGCGTGGGCTCAGACGCTCTGCAGTATGTGGGCTCTTCCCGGACCATGGATCGAACTCGTGTCTCCTGAATCGGCAGGTGGATTCCCATCCACTGTACCGCCGGGGAAGCTCTTCCTCTTTCACTTTTAAGACCCCTTGTTCTTGCCATGTGCCCACAGCGGGAAATTCAGGATAATCTCCTTATCCTAAGGTCAGCTGAACAGCAAACTTAATTCTACCTGCAACCTCAATTCTCCTTTGCCAGGCAATATAACATGCTCACAGGTACTAGAAATTGGGACATGAACATCTTTAGGGAAGCCATTATTCTACTTACTGTGATAATGAACATTTATTGAAAGTTTGTTACTTGCCAGGCACTGTTCTAAGCAAGTTACATATAATTAAGCAGCTATAATTCTCATAATAATAGATTTTGTTGTTATTCCCATTTTTTAGATGACACAGAGATTAAGTAACTTGCCCAATGTTACCTAGAGAGAAAGCACAGAAGCCAGGATTGGCATAAGCGTGACAAATACAGTCTGCATTTTTAATCTCTGAACTCCACAACTGCAAAGGTGATTCTCATCTAAATATATTACAGTTCTGTGTTATCATTATTATCAAGGATGATCATCTAATAGCAGTCATGACAGTTACCCAGAATAAGGGCAAGTTTAACATTTTAACTGGTAAATGGATATATAAAACCATAGAAACTATCAGGGAAAACAAGGGTTTCTTAGAGATTTGTCCACTGGTGTCTAGATTATGTGTATCCCTAAATGTCACTCTGTAGTTTCAAAGTCACATGTACATACACACACACACAGGGAGAGAGAGAGGGAGAGAGAGAATATATATATATATGAATAACAGATATGGAATGGAACTTTCTGTTTCACTAAAATTTCAGTGGAAGATCCTTAACTGAGAACATCTGATGACAAATACCACTCGGCATTCTTGAGAAAGACATCTTCTAAGGGTTTAATAAGAGATGCCAAACTGGCCCATCAACCATCACCTCCCATGACTCATCTTCAGCCCATGGAACAGAAGGGTAGAGATTGAGAGATTTTCTTTGATGGGAAATTATAGAGGTAAAGGCAATAATGGAAAGAGGTGCTTCCTCATCAAACTGTGGACATCTTGACAGCATAAACAGGGCATATGTGAAGGGAGCTGTTGGAGAAGAAATAAAGTTGTTTTCTGATTGCACCCTGCTGAGCCATGCCTAGTCGATGGACTGGCTGCCTGTGACATCTCGTCTTACAGTCTCACTGAGTTAGACAGCAGTGGACCAGACTTATTCTGAAACTGATGAAAGCAAGGCTCAAGGAGCCTTAACGTGTATGACGGTATTTAATGTGTGTGATGCCCAGCAGTTGTATAGGAAGGTGATGGGTTCGGACAATGGCCTTCTGACTCCAGATGCAATAACCTCTCTACTACATCACAGTGCCTCAGTAGGTGATGGCTGATGTGCACACAGACCTGGCCATGGACACACCTGGAATCACTGGGGATGGAGTGGGAGTGGGGTATGGTTCATCTATCTTGTCGTCTCTAATTCAAAGGTGGTATTCTATAGGTCACAGTTGAAGACTCCCTTACCTCTTGCTTTCCCCATGTTGATGAAGAAGCATATTCTTTACTCACATAATGCACTGGTACCAAAGGCTTTGGGTACCACTCATGCCTCCAGTAAGTCTTGACTTGTATTTGACATTTTTATGGCAGCTTCCTGCCATCACCAGTGTCAGAAGCCAACCAAGAAGGCTCCTTCTGCCTTTGCAGAAAAGGAGCATGTACAATCACCAAGTTAAGATTTTTAAGCATCTACATATGATCCAGCAATCCCATTCCTGGGCATATATCTATTCAAAACTACAATTCAAAAAGATAAATGCACCTCTATGTTCATAGCAGCACTATTCACAATAGCCAAGAATGAAAACAACCTAAATGTCCATTGACAAATGCATGGATAAAGAAGATGTGCTATGTATACACAGTGGAATATTACTCAGGCATAAAAAAGAATGAAATAATGCCATTTGCAGCAACATGGCTAGAACTAGAGATTATCATACTAAGTGGTGTATGTCAGAAAGGGAGAGACAGATATATGATATCAGGTATATGTAGAATCTAAAATATGACACAAATGAATTCACCTATGGGACAGAAACAGACTCCTATACATAGAGTCTGTTACTCATATACATCCTTGCTATTGCCAAGGATGAGGGAGGGTGGGAAAGAGATGGACTGGGAGTTCGGGGTCAGTGAATACAAACTATTACATAGAGATCGGATAAACAACAATGTCATACCATACAGCAGAGGGAATAATATTCAATATCTTGAGATAAACCATAGGGGGAAAGAATGTGTGTGTACGTCTGTGTGTGTATATATATATATTCTTCTTTTATAACTGAATCACTTTGTCATACAGCAGAAATTAACACAACAATGTAAATCAAGTATACTTCAATTAAAAAAAGATTTTTAGGCATCTAGCTGAAGAGGAAGGAAAGCTTGCATTTTTTTTTTTTTGAGTGAACACAAATGAGTAGTTTCATCAAGAGAGAAAAAACCAAACCAAAGCAAAGTAACCCAATGTCGTCTTCAAAAGCAGGTCCCTACCTTAGCATGGCACCAAATCCCTTCTTCTTTATTTTCCTTTCTGGATCTTCATTTCCCTCTTTCTGCTTTTTCTCCTTGACTTTTAATTTGCCCTTTTCCTTCTTCTTCTCCTTTTCTTTCGTTTTTTTGACTTTCCTGGCTTTATTTTCTGCATTTTCTAGCTCAGAGTTCCCCTGAGGGCCAGATTCACAATTCAGAGCTCCTTGGCCGGAGTGAGAGCTCCTATCAGACAGACCATCTGCACAAGAGGAAAAAAATCAATGCACATAGTCAGGGGCTCCTCTGTCAGTATTTCAAGAAAAGTTAAAATATAGAAGAACAAATCAAAGCACTCAGGAGTTCTACTCTGCCGTGTGGCTACATGTGCCCTTTGAAGAGACAACTGCCTAACTCTGGTTATGCAAGGCTTTTGCTGTTGGGAGTGGGGGATGCTGGTTGCTTAGCCAGGAGTATAAAAGGTTTGATATGGGCTGAAACACTGATCTCTCTGAAAGCAGCTTGTTAACCCTGATCAGCTCAGAATGCCGACATGCTGGGCAACAAACAGGGTGAGTTTATTTCCAGGAGAAGTTTCTGAGTGCAGCTATAACCCGGCTGTTTCAATGCAATTAATGCAGTCAGTCCTTGGGTTGAGGCTGCATCTAATGACTTGCATAAGAATGTCAAGAAATGCATGCTTAGTGCTGCTACCCTAAGGGTAAATGACAGTTGGTCCTTGTAGGAAATTGAAGGAGAACAATTCTTCAGTGGTTGCCCTGTAAAATAAATTGCATATTGCGTTATCCAATTCCATGTTCATTAAGCCAAAGGGCAAAACATATCAGGAAAATGAATTACTTTTAATATCAAAAATATAATTGTGATCCTTAAATCATTTTTCTCTGTAGTTAAGCACCCATTTGTGCCTATGATTCGCTGATAATAACGAGAGGAAGAAACCATTTCAGCAAGCGTGCTGCCCTACCGGCTTCTGACTCCTCAGGTCCATCGTAAGATTTGTCAATGGCAGCTCGGAAGCTCTCGTTGCAGCCCCGGCCGCGGACCATATGTGGCGGAGGCCGGTGGAAGGGAAGTTCATTCTTCCTGACCTCGGCAACTGCGGTCTGGAGGCTCTCCAAGGAGCTGGACTTTTTCAAACCCAGAGTCGGACCAAAATCTTTGCTTGGAGAATCTGGAAAAAAAGAAAAAAGGGCAAAAGGTCACCCTTCCCCTAAGGCAGCCTGATGGAGTAGGAAGCCTTGTTCTATCTCGAAAGGCAGGGGTGGGGGGTGTTAAGGGGGTGGGACTTGGTGTTAAACCTCAGCTTTGCCACTTTTTGTGTCTTTGAGCAAGTATTTGACATCTTGGTTCCTTAGTTCCTTTTCTATAAAGTTGTGGGAAGATTTAAAATGATAATACACATTATATACAGAATAAATATGTATATATATATATGCACATACACATATGCATGAATTTGAAAAGCTGTAGCAGTCTCTAGAGATTATAAGTATCAGAGTATGTATACACACACTCACATAGCCACACACACACGAAGCACCTAAGTGTTTCACAGTTCTCATTCTAAGCACTCCCATATATTGTAGCTTTTATTATTTCCAAAATTGTTCTTATAATTATTAAGGAATGTAATATGCACAAAAATCAAACAGCATTGAAGTGATTTTAATTTCTGTCCTTAAACACTTTATCATACTCTAGCACTGTTCCTGTTTGGTAAATGCAATTTATTTAGTCGACAGACAAAGCAAAGCAAGGAAGGAAAACAACTTCTCTGTGTCAATGCTTACTGCTCCATGTGTATTTCTATTTGATTATCTAGGAAATGGGGTAATTTTCTTTGCATGATATAATATTCCAAAATAGCCTGGGCAAAGTTTAATAATTTGTGTTTTGACATGTAATATTTTTCATTTGCACTGTTTGTCTTGCCCTGTTACCTGCCACTTTTCACTCATGGCTTGATCTCCATTCCCACCCACAGTCAGGCTCAGAGTTGTCTGTAACAGGATTAGGCTATATAAATACCAGCAGCACAAGGATTATTTTAAAGATGGAGGGAATTCTAGCAGGGCTCTTTTCCATCAGGGCCAAAGCTCATGATCCTCTCCAGTTACAAAGCTTACTGTCATGAAGGGGCTGCACTTGGATTTCTGGAAATAGACTGCCTTACAGTTTTGAGTAGATACAGATTGAGTACACCTTATGGATTGTGAACATGAAGTAGCTACTTCAATGCCTAGTATATAGTAAGGCTCAGGAGACAGCTCTATCACTTCTTACTATGATCACTATTTTTGCTTCTACTAACGCTGCTGCCATAAGTATTATTACTAGTTGCTTAAGAAAATACTAGGTAGTACAAGAATAGAAAAGAAGTACAGCAAAGGCATCATGCCTGTATAGACATGCATAGAGTTAAAAAACAAAATACACCATCCCAGGTATTGTAAATATGTTAAAAACAGTCAAAATAATGACAATAATGCTAATAGCTAACAATGCAGAAAATGCTTAGCCTAGTTTAAGTGCTTTACCTGTACTAACTTAACATGATTCTTAAAGTTGTGCTACTGCCAATATTGTTCCCATTTTACAGATGCGGAAACTCAGGCAGAGGGCAGAGAAATACCTGGTCTAAAGATACACATTTAATAAGCAGCAGAGCTGGGAACTGTTTTCAGGAAGCCTCACTGTGCCTTTTCTGCTCTATACTGTCCAAAGTAGTACTTGGCCTTCACCCTCTACTTAACTATGGTAAAGCTACTTCAAATGGTCTCTAGTTTCCTCATCTTTAACTAAGACCATTAGTCTATATTAGCCCTGAGCCTAGTTAAGCAGACAAAAATGCAAAAACTGGATGTTGTTTTTCCAGTTTCACATTACCTTACAGGAGGCAATTTTGCACTTTAACAATGTACATGATGATGATAAACATTCCATTTTACAGGTAACAGTGTATCATTAAGATATGCAACATAGATGGGATTAAGGAGAAAGGAAAAAACAAATTTCAGGGACAAATTTCAGGTGCTACTTTGCAAACTGTAAATAATAAGAATACACTGCTACTAAATCCACAAAGAGGTGTATTTCTTATAGTCCCAGGAACGAAAGTGAGTGGAAGAAACAGAAACTGAGTAAGATTGTTTCTGACAAGAAAACAAAAAGCAACAGAGAGGTGTGGGGGTATTAAAGCAACAGTAAAAGCTTTGGAGTTTACAGAAAACATTTTACACCATCTCTCCCTAGGGATCTGACATGAAGTTTGGGAAAAACATGAAGATGAAAACTATCTGAGGAAGCCTAGTTCCTCTGTCAACAATAGTAACCATCTTTTATTTATTAATTGCCATTCAGGAGATTATATTAGAGCCCAAACTGTAAGCATTCACGTCAACCTTTAGCAATAAATTCTAGGGAACATGAAAGTGAATAAATCATCCAAGATATAAGGCATGTTATCTAAAAGGAGCTCAGCAAGAAGTCATCGTTGAGAAGGAACAAATACACTGTTACTCATTTGAAGCAAACTGAACATTAAGGATTCATGGGTTTTGCAGGATTAATAGAACCAGCAATTAATTCACTTTATGTAAATAGAAGTCACAAATTAGAAGTGTCAACTGATGCTGGCCAAAATTATAGCCTAACTCTACTGGATGTGGTAAAAAAACAAAAAACAAAAAAAAAAAAACAAAACAGCAATAACAAAAGCAGAAAAGCATTTGAGTCTTGGTTGTAAATGTGGACTCAGGGATTTTCAGGCTTGAAAACAACTTTCTTATTTATTTCTAGGGAATAAACAGGATATGGTGGTGGGGAAAAAAAGACTGATGTTAGAGAGGAGAATTTGAAAACAGGAAAAGTCCTTACAAGGACTTATAGGTGCACTGAACTGACTGAATTGAATCTCTGAGTGAAAGGATCTTGGCTAGGGTTTGCATTTCCTTTATGTCCAAGACTTCTGAGGGAAGGTTGAGGTTACTAGTTACGAGAGATTATTATAAGTCAATTGATGGCATCAGCACTAAATGTCAACCAAACACTTGGAATAAAGGTTTTAGCACATAAAGATTGTATGTGAGCACGATAAATTGTCACATTTCAGTCCTTCCCCACTCCCATTCTCCACAGTTCCAGCTTAGGCTGCCATTGCATTGTAAATCCTGTAGCTTTCAAAAGGGGAAGATTTTGTGTATTTTTAGCCTAACCATTTATACAAATCATACTGTTTTCTAGGTTCCCACTTAAAGTAGAGGTCTTCTTGAAGGATATTAATCAAAATCAATCTTCAGTAGTTACATCCCATGAAGTCATCTCCAAAGTGAGGACTTCTCCCATTTTCACCTGTAGCTGATGTGATACTGACTGTGGCTGATTTTAAGCAACTGTTTGAGACAGTGATCCCTGAATACCACATGGTATCAGTCATGAGATGGACTACGTCCAAATCTGAGCATTTACTTGTCCCATTTTGAGTATCTGAATGTAAACTGAATATAATTTTTCAATGATTTCCAGGCCCATTTAGATTAGCTGCAAATGCCAAGAAATAGATCTTTTCCCAAACTTTAGTAGCAAGGCTTTATTTTTTTAAACTTATGACTTCTATGTTCAGTGACCATGTTCTCTAAGATACTGATAAACTTCTTCCCATCAGAAACATGAACTTGACATTCACAAATTTCTAGAAACATGATACAATGTTTATCAAAGGTACTAAAAAAGGGATCTTTCCTGAGAAATGTTATACTTAAAGTAGTATAATAAAAGTATTCTTAAAGTTCCATGTGCCAAATTTTTTAGATGTCCCCAAAAGAAATATCACAGAAAGATTTTTTAAAAGATGCTATAGCTTTTTTGAAGATTTATTTGTGCCAAGTGAAGGATGGGCTTGACTTGAACCTGGAAGCCTTCCTCATACAGAGTAGAGGGAAATTTCAGGGCCATGTTTTCTGGCTCCACCAATCCTCAAACATAGCCCCTGTTCCTCCTTACCATCCAGAGGAAATGCAGTGTTATGAAGAAACTGAACTCATATACCAAGTCTAAAGATTTAAAGCAATTCTGCCACCATTTCTCCCATGGACATGAAACAAGTAGAGAGAAGGGCAGTAGACAGTACTGTCCAAGGGGAGAGGTACCTCTTCAAAATAGAGTTAAAAACCTGGAACCACTGCCCCAGTCTTCTAAGTAGAAAGTCCCATTTCAACATGCTGTTGTTGAGTATAACATTTCTCATGCAAGACCCTGGTGGTCCAGTGGTTAAGAATCCATCTTGCAATGCAGGAGACTCAGGTTCAATCCCTGGTTGGGGAACTAAGATCCCACATGCTGCAGAGCAACTAAGAGCATGTGCTGCAAGAGATAATAGAGAATAAAACGCTCTAGAGAGTAGTGATTAACGGTGAGTGATGAAGTGGAGAGGCAGTGAGACATTCCAATACCCCCCACTCTGCCACTTATTTTTTGAGTTATTAACCTTCCTGTGGCTGCTTCCTTATCTGTAAAATTTGGATAAATGAGGATGGAAGAGTGCTTGGTACATAACAGGTACTCATAAAGCATTGGTGATGATTATTGTCATTGGTGTTTTTACACCAACTCTAAACATTGAGTAAATGAAGCTCTAGAACAATCCATTTGGTTCAATCCACCACTGCATTTTAAAATACAACTATTCCCTCTGCAAGAAGGTGAAAAAGGGCTCCAAAAAGAAATACAGTACCATCCTTCCTTTTTTATTCAAAAGTTAAACTAATTTTCCTCCAAACAACTCCTTACAGTTTTTTCTTTTGAAATAAGGTATATATATATGTATGTATGGATATATATATATACATATATATATATATATATCCATCTGTTCATCACATATAGAGACTATTCTTGGGAAGATTAATAGTGGAGTCTTAGATATCCTTCTCCTTAGGCTATAGTCATTTAATTAGTCTGAGATTTCATTGGCAATGTTTGAACTTCCCATTCTAGCATTAAAATCTTGCAATAAAAGAATGCCTTAATCCAGAAGACCAGTAATTGGATCTTCCATTATTGATGAAACTGCTTCCAATACATTCTTATTAAAACATAAAGAATTATTTAGGAGAAGGTATTCACTTTCAGATACATGGCAAGTTTTCCTCCATGATAGAGCTTTACAATTAA